ACCTATTCTATCATTCAAGATACACTGAATTACCTTATGAAAACACACATGTTTTGCAAGGTTTAGGAGATCATGTTCATAAACTTTTATCATTATATCACATCATGGTTTCTTGAATTGGTAGTATAATAGTGTACCGTATATAACCAATTTATTTCATATTAAATCCATTTCATGTAGGGAGAATTTGTCCATTTCTAATCTATAATAAACTTACCCCCATGGTGGATTTTTAAAAAGGGTCTTATCCATTGGTGAAAATGAAAAGAATACATGTAATGAGCTATAAGTTAACAAAACAGAATGCAATCATTGAGCGGTTTGTACCAAACACAAAGTTTTTTTTTGCATATAAACACTTACGATATATATGATTTACCTGTTGCAAAGGTCGTAGATTCTACATATTATTTACCACTGGCACACAAAACTAAAGAAAACTAAAGTGATTTATGGTTCTTTAATTTTTTGCAAATCGAACGAAGTCTATATATATATATATATATATATATATATATATATATATATATATATATATATGTTCAAATGTTTCTCACATCTATTGTGTGCTAGAATGCACCAATAAAAATTTAGTAAAAAATAAATTATTATTTAATTAAATAAAGATAGATATTGAATGATTTCCATAATTATATATATTAAATGATATCCATAATTATAATTATTTTTTAATGGAAACTAATTAAATTCGTATTAATATCAGCAATAATATTCTTTCGGAATGAATTCGCATCTGATTTTTCATGTATGGGTTCGTATTTTGTTTCATGACCCACTCACTCAAAATACAACAAAGTAGCTTAGAACATGGAGGACGAGAGTGTATTCTAGTAGAATGAGAGTCTATTCTAGAAGAATGAGAGTATGTTCTAACAGAATGAGAGTGTATTCTAGTAGAATACACTCTCTTTCTTCATATTCCATAAAAAAGAGAATTATAACTATGGATAGAAAAAACTTCATAAATGGTCCTTGTGGTTTCCCCATATCTGAAGTTTAGTCCCTGTGGTTTAAAAACATCATAGATGGTCCCTGTGCTTTCAAAAATTTTGACGATTGGTCCTTATTTTTAACTCCGTTAAGTTTTGTTCGTTAACTGAAGGGCATTTTTGTCACTTCACTACCACAGGGACCATTTATGATGTTTTCTCTTGTTTTTTTAAAAGAAAAAATTAAATATAATTATTTAATATATATAAAAAGTCTCTCTCTCTCTCTCTCTCAAGAAAAAAACCCACATAACTATACCCCATTTTCGTCTTCCTCAACCCCTATACAAACAATAAAACAATCACCCTATTCCTCAACCCCGTACCACCCCTGTTCTTCAACAAATCCCAAATATGACAACCAAACCTAAACAACTTGAAAAACACAAAAACTTAACTGGTTTTCAAAATAATACAATCATACATCAAGTAGGCCTCGTGTACACAGTTGATCTCAGGAACGTGTTGCCAGAATGAGTAATTTTTGGGTTTTCAGCAGCAACCAGAGCTCTATTTCAAATAAATAATGTGAGATCTTGGAGTTTCAGTAGTTTTGATTGACAGGTTGATGAAAACAACGGGCTGCCTCCAGACTTAGGCCCAAATCCAGTAAAAAACAACAGCAGGGTGGGATTAGTAGTTGGATTATCGGTTGGAGTTACTTTTTTGGATGTGCTTGCTTTTGTTTTATGGAGGTGGAAGAAGAAGAAAAGCAGGGAAGATGAACATGAAGATGAAGAGTCTGGATTTGATTTTGAAATGAACAATGAATTCGAAATGGGCACCGGGCCTAAAAGATTCTCTTACCAAGAATTAGCCCGATCCACCAGTGAGTTTTCATAGAATGAGAAGCTTTGTGAAGGAGGTTTTCGTGGGGTTTATAGAGGTTTCTTGAAAGATTCCAACACGTATATTGCAGTGAAAAGGGTGTCAAAGAATTCCAAACAGGGGATCAAGGAGTATGTGTTGGGTTTTGAGCACTACAACACTCCTATGGTGCACATGCAACCCTAAATGCTTTGGATCTATGTTTTCTCTAATTATACATGCATATATTCATTTTTTCCAAAGCATTGTCCTAACTAGCATACAAATTGCCAAATGAACAATACAACTAGTTAGATGACTTACCTCTTAGAAGGACTTGTAGTTCTTGACCTTTGAAAGCTTGAGCACCTCAAGTGTGATGCCTCTAATGGTTCACAAACACCAATATGCAAGAGGAGGCTTGAGAGAATAAGTTACTTAACACAAAATCCACTTCACTCTCTTAGAATGAATGTAGCCACTCATGTGTCCGATTTTGGCTCTAAGGGGGTTTATTTATAGCGTAGCAAATGCTAGGGTTACAATTTGTAAACCCTAATGGCCTTTCATATTACTTAGCTCCATGGGTTAATCTCCATGGCTTATCTCATTGCTTTAGCCCATCTAAATAATCATGGATCATTAGCCCACACTATAAGAATCATTGATTTACACAATAGATCCCCATATATTTAATTAGTCTCTTTTTGACTACAAAATCAATTCTAAATTAGTTCTTGATCAATACTAATTAAATAATATGATTTCATATTAATATATTATACTTGTAATATATTAATAAACTATAAATAACCTTATTCTCAAAAATCCATCCTATCAAATTGCATTGGTGAAGGCAACCCAAAAGGACCATGCTACAATCGGGTCAAGTACATCTTAGTTATAGTTATGGGCTTAGACACCAAATCCAACAATATGCATCGGAAGTAAATATCATTAGTCGATTGAGGCACAAAAACCTTGTCCAACTCATAGGATGGTGCTACGAGAAAGGCGTGCTCCTCCTTGTTTATGAGTTTATGGAAAACGGAAGCTTAGATTCACATCTCTTTAGTTTTTTCTTTTAAAAAAAAGAGAAAACATCATAAATGGTCCATGTGGTAGTGAAATGACGAAAATGCACTTCAGTTAACAGACAAAACTTAACGGAGTTAGCAATAAGGACCAATCGTCAAAAGTTTTGAAAGCATAGGGACCATCTATGATGTTTTTAAACTACGGGGACTAAACTTCAGATCTGGAGAAACTACATGGACCATTTATGATGTTTTTTCTTATGAATATCATTTAATATACATACAATTATGAAAATCAATTAGTATCTATATTTATTTAATTAAATAATTATTTAATTTTACTAAATTTCTATTGGTACATTTTAGCACACAATAAATATAAGAAACACATGAACTTAGTCTATATATATATATATATATATATATATATATATATATATATATATATATATATATATATATATATATATATAAGGTAAGGTTCAATAGAAAACCATTATTGATCATGCAACCAAGGAACCAGTCTCTTTTTTTTTTGCTTTTGTAAAACTTTTAATACAGAAATTTGTAATTTTTTATCATTTTTCCAATTATGTCAAATTCGATAAAAAAATTATTTATTTTTTTTTCAAATTCACAGTGTGAAATTGTACAGATTCACAATGTGAAGTTATGAATTTAGATATTTTTATGTGAATCTGAATTCACATGGTGAATTCGAAAAATATATAAGCATACACAATGTGAAGTTATATATATATATATATATATATATATATATATATATATATATATATAGTTTTTTTATAAAGAATAAGCTCTATAACTTAAAAAAATATTTGATTCCTTGGACAATCATTGGTAATAATTCTCTATTTAACTTTTCAATATATATATATATATATATATATATATATATATATATATATATAATTTAATCTGAAATAGGGATGGAAATTGGAAAATGTTTCTATATAATGTTCAAAGTAGATTAAAAGCGGAGTAACATTGAAACACATGACTAACACATGATTGAACAAAACATGTTCTTATTATGCTGTTAATTCATGGGACTAATTAATACAGAGTAAAACCAAAAAGACCATTCTTCGACTAATCTTTGAAAATACGTCATGGTAAATATCCTATATATGATTAATTGCATATTGATTCAAATTCAGTGTAAAACGACTAGTTTTGCTAGAGAATGGGTTCTGAAATGGTGCGGCACCTCGATGCGTCAATTTTTTGGAGTCATGGACTTCATTGACTTTGCTACAAATTGCCCTAGAATACATTTTCGTTTCCATATCGTATTATTTATTTTGGTGCAAGATTATCAACAACATACTGAGTTCCTTTACAGTTATTGGATATCTGAAATTTCGGATATCCAAAAATTTCGGATAATTGATATTGATATCCAAAATTTCGGATATCCGAAAATCAGATATCCAAAATTTCAAATAATGAATGGGATGTCCGAACTTTTTACAAGGTTGCTTTCTTCTTCATTTGTTGTTTTCTTCTTCCCTAATGCAAAATAAATACAACAGTAGTTTAACGGTTAAATTAAACGTTTAGCCCAACAATGTAATTAATGTTTTTTTCCTTCTTTTATACAAAGATATATCATAAAAAAGAAGAACAAAAGCCTCCTAATTGTATTGGATAGTAAGTATTTACTTCTAATTGTTTGTCTGTGGGTCTCTTTACTTTTCAATTCTCATTCACAAGTTTTAGCAAATTGATGAAGTAAAAAAAAAAGTAAATGTCAAACTCAAAAACTCAACAACAGGAAGGATGAAAGGAAGACAAAACTATGAACATTAAATGTAAAAGAGAAATTAAATATCATTTTATTTTTGTTCCTATAAATCCTCCTATCCAATTAAATGTTGACATGCTTCATTAAATATTACACATGTCACTATTTAATTGGGTAAGAAGATTTGTAGGAACAAAAAGTAAGAGCATATTTAATTTCTCAATGTAAAACTCTAGGATACAAACAACAGCAACAAATTGCAGCAATCCTTTGCATAAGCATCAAAAAGCTAGGATCTGATATACTTTTAATATAATATTTCCAATTTAAGGTAATAAGATGCGGTTACTTGATACCAACGTAAATGGAGATGGTCCATCAAAAGGATAACATATAGAAATTACCAAAATTAATTGTCTTATTCATCAGCCTAGCAGCAAGTAAAATTACTTGAGCAAGCAGAGCTTTTTTATCATCATCATTATCAACACCAGGATCAGGCCAATTCTCAAGAAAATGAACCTGCCCTGTCTCGAACAACATCTTTCCGAGCTCTATCTGCACATACCCCAAAAAAGTAAAATCAATCCCGTGTGACTTCATTTCATAACAGACACACACATCCACATACAAATACCTGTTCGGGAGATAGAATCGAGAGTTTTTTTTTGGAGATTAGGAGATGAAGATGTGGAGAGTTCATTGAGTTGAAAGGTGGCGAGTTTCTTAATGGCGGAATCGACCGCTTAAGCCATGAATTAGGAAATTGTGAGAACGCTCTAACTCTGATCCAGAAACAGAGTTGTGCAAACTGCAAATGAACATCGATAATGGTATAGAGGCCGAACCCTAAATCGATAGTGATATGGGGAAGAACAACGAGAAATTTAGTAGGAGACAATAGGGAAAGCGAAGTGTATTTCGTTTGTGGAAAATCGAAAGCCTCTTCTGAAGGGAAAGTGTTACATATATACCTGGAGTAGCTGTTATTCTTCGTCTTCGTCGTCATGAAGCGTGTTGATTGGAGATTGTGGTGTCGCCGAATCAAAGGAGGAAACCGGCTAAAACCTTGTATTCATACCGTTGCTTTCGCTAACCCAAATGTTCAAGAATAATCGATTTGTGGAGTTCACCAGAGACGTGAAATGTTCGTTTCATGGATTCGAGAGGAGATAAAGATACGATGAACAAAAAAGCAGAGAAGACGCAAATTTGAGGATCAATGGAATCCAACGGAAATTCGAGGATTAGAATAGCAAAAAGGAAGAATCGGTGGAGAAACAGATGGTAATGGAAGAAAAAGGGGAAGTCTGTGTTCTAGGTTGAAAGAGGTGGTGACGCTTAGATTGGAGCCAAATAACGGTCATGTAGATGAGAGGAGAACACGTGTATCATCTTCACCTGCAAGCCGATGACGATGTAAATGAAGCCATAGCTCCACCACAACTACTACCAGTTATATAAGCCAAACCACAAAACCACCAGCTTCAAAGTGGAACTGTAGATAAGCATGCTTGGTTTTTATTGTATGATAAATTACAATTATGAAAGACATATGGACACTTGAAAACTAAAATATAAGTAGCAAGCTATTACATTTAAATAATTGCAAAAATATAGAAATAAAAAACAAAAAAATAATATTTTTTTTTTGGATTTCGGATATATCCGAAAATTCATAAATCTACTATCCATATCCGAATCCGAAAAATTGGATATCCGAAATTTTCGGATATCCGAATTTTCGGATAATTTTGTTTCGGATCAGATTTTGAATAAGGATATTTTTGAACAACCCTAATTATGAGTGGGCTGAATGGTATTGCTCGGCCTAAAAGATATTTAATTTTGCTCTTTGTATTTTGTTTGTTTTTCAACCCCATTGTAGTATCTAGCTACCCGGCCTGGTTGCTTTTTGCTTTAATATATTTCTCTTTTTAAAAAATTCAAATTCAAATTCAAATTTTGCATTCCAGGATATTTGCATATCTTCTAGAAATTTCATAGAAATATAGAAATAAAATTACATAACTTTCCATAAAGACATAATCAACAAAATTACCCTATAATACTATTAATGCGTCATAAAAGAAAGTAAACATTTGGATCAGTACTAAATCATTAAATTAGTACATTGTACAATACAAATATACATTTAAAGCTTCGTTCTCCTGATATATGCTTACTTCTTTTTAACAATTTGGGAGATATCATTAGCAATATTCTTTGCATCATTTGAAATACCGAACAATCCAGCACCTGCAAATCCCACACAGTAAAGACCATGTTCCCCTTTCCAATGATTCGGGCTCTTAAGATGTGGCATTCCTTTTTCATTAAACAACCCTTCATCATGCTGAATAAAACCAAAAAAAATTGGATCAACCATAAACAAAATCGTAAGTAAATATAAATCTAATCACATTAGATATATACCTTAAGCCATTTCCTCACATTGCTTCTAAAACCAGTAGCAAAGACTATGGCATCAAATCGTTTCTGTTGACCATTTGAAAACATGATTTGATCACCTTTTATCTCTTCAATTGGCTTCATTACCTTATGACACAAAGAACATATCATAAAAGTTAGTCATTGTTTAAACTGTTATGAGTTTGATATTAAAAGAAGATATATAACAAGGTTTACCTCAATGTCTCCGGTTTTGATCCTTGCAACTGTTCCAACATCAATAACGGGTGATCTTCCAGTTTCCCGTTTAAGATAAAATGGCCCTTTTGTTGGCCTTTGTATTCCGTGTTTACAAAGATCTCCATACAACAACTTACTAAACATTAAAACAATTTTATCCACAAAACTACACGAAAGATATTTCAGTAAATACATCCCGAGTTGTACTAACTCCTTTGTGAGCACATGTACCTGTCACAACAATAAACCATTAAAACTACATGAAATGCATTTTAAAATTATAGTATATCACAAGTGCATATTCAAACACCGAGTGGGAGAACATTTAGATGAATGAACGTAAGATAACATGGAAAAAAGAGAGTACTTACAGGGCTACGAACAACAATCGACGTTTGGGCACCCCAGTTGAACAAATCATAAGCAATTTCCATGCCAGAATTTCCAGCACCAACAACAAGCACATTTTTGTATCCAAATTTCGTTCCATTTTTGTATTCACTAGAGTGTATGATTGACCCTGTGAAGCTATCTAAACCATTAACACTAGGGATATATCCTTCACTGTTTTCACCTGTTGACACCACAAGAAACTCTCCGACATACTCTTCCACAAAACCTGAAACCCCATTTTTGGCTTTAACAACCCATCTCTTTGTAATCCTGTCATACCATGCACTCTCGACATTACGATTGTACAATGGATCTACATTGAATTCAGTAACATACTTATGCAAGTATTGAACAAACATATATTTGGGTACAAATGTGGGTGCTGAAACTGGAAATGGCATGTGAGGGAGTTCACAAAAGTTTTTAGCTAAGTGAAGCTTCAAACAATCGTAAGTCTTCTTTTGCCATAAAGATGCATAACAATCATCCCTTTCCAAAATGACATTTGGAATAGAGAGAAGATTGAGACATGCAGATGTTGCAAGTCCCGCAGGTCCTGCTCCTACTATCAGAACATCGGTTTCATGCTTCACCATCAAGCTCTTAAGTGTGGTTTTGTTCTGATGATTGTACGGATGAATGGATGATGAAGTAGACCATGCAATTATAACTCTTTATATAGGAATACGATGAACAGACAAACCAGACTAATTTTCCTTGATCCAAGGAACCGTTATACTTCGAAATTATTTTGTTCATATTGTTCTTAAATACGTGAATGAAATTGCATCACTCATCGAATTTGTCCCCGCTTTATTGGAAACAAGCTTTGAGAAGATTATTTAACGTTACAAAACTTCATTCAACAGAAATCTATGTGTTCATACTAATGGTGTACCCGGGTCGGTCAATGAGCCCAATACCAACCCGGTTATAACAACTCAGTACGTAAGAAACAAAGAGCAGCTGTTTAACCCATAAGCAATCCATGCCGATAGAGCTGGCAAAAATCGACCCAACCAACCAAACCAATCCGAACTCAACCCAACCCAAAATTAGCAGGTTGGGTTGAGATTTTCAACCCATTTAGGATAAATGGGTTAACCCACCTAACCTATTTAATTAAATAGGTTGGATTGGGTAAAGTTATCAACCCGTTTTAACCCACCAACCCGTTTCACTTTAATATATATTTAATTTAATAATTATTTAAATATTACCATGTATTAATCTAAGTATTAATTTATAAACTATAATGTTTTATTGTTATTTTTTTTAAAAAAAATGCAATCCTAGTTCTTATCTTTTTGTTTGCGCCGACAACACTAGTCACTCTTCAAAATCATTTCGAAATAACATATCTTTAATGTCATTTGAACAATTTTTTTGTATTTTGTGAATTAGAATTTTGTGCTTTTATTATACATTGAAAGTTTATTTAAGTTTGAAACTAATTTAAGTGGTGTAATCTTTTGTTATTTTATTTACTTTTTTATTTTAAATGGGTTAACCTAGGTTAACTCATTTATTTAATAGGTTGGGTTGAGAATTATATAAACGGGTCAACCTGATGACAACCCATTTATCTGAAAGGTTGAGTTGGGTTGGAAATATCCACCCATTTAAATAAAAAAGTTGGGTTGGGTTGAAATATTCAACTCAATTAATAAATGGGTTGAACCCAAACCCAACCCAAGTCGACCCATTGTCAACTCTACATGCAGACCCGACTCTTACAAATCAGCCTATAATCAACAAAAGACAACTATTAAATAACTAATCCAGAAGGCAATACCAATACATAACAAATAAATAAGAAAAGAAACAAGACAAATCCCACAAGTTATGCAAATACAAAATCCTGACAATAAAATATAAAAGTTGTACATACGAGATAGTTGTATTTATCCGGGTAATGAATGAGGACCGGATAAAACTTTTTACTCTAATATATGGAAAGACCTATAAGAACTTTCAAGGACCGAGCAACAAGGTAAGTTTACGAAAGGGACCAAAAACTATTTGCAATTCATGTTTATCAAACAACGTCTAACTTAAGCATCAGAGAACAATACCAGAGTCCAACCATCGGTGTAGCTTTCTAACATAATAGTTGTTCCATTTTTCAATTTTTACCGCCATCAATTGAATTTTTTTCTTTATCTTATAAAGTAATGTTGAAAGTATATATAAAAATTAAAGATTATTAATGACAATCCATATAAACTTATCAAATATTAAATATAAAAAGTTGTGCGTTTTGACCATCGTAACTATCAAAAGGACTACCATTAAATTCATCTAACAATGGTCGGTAATTTTATATCGTAAACAAACTAATGTTCTTAATTAATTGAAGACAAAACTAAAATTTACTATAGTAATTTTCATTTTTTTTGCTAATAATAATGTGTGTATATACAGTGGTAGTTATAATTTACCACATTCTATAATTAATGTGTAGGTTGAAAACTAAAATTTGATTTATAACGTGTGATATTTCTATAGGAGTGCATAATAACAAATAACTAATTACATGCATGTTTATGTATACGAATTAAGTTATGTGTATTAATTACAGTTAAAAATATATTAGTTAAAAAGGTTTAACAAATGTAAAACAAAACAATATACTCTCATCTTATATTAAAAATAAAAGCAACACTTTAAAATGTTGCATTTTACAATATGAATAACAAGCCTTGCATTTAAGCGTTAATCAATAATTTTTTTTTAATTTTTATATATTTGGTCCGTAAGTTTTTTTCGTCTATATTTACCCCTTCAACTTGTTAAACTGTACAGATTCAGTCATTATGACCGGTTACTCCGGGTTATCCGGGAAAAATGACTTAATAGGGTAATATATTTCCATTTTGTACACATTTACTCTTTATTAATTTTGTACACATTTAGTCCTTAATATTTTTTGTTTCAAAATAAGTCATTTTTGTTTTTGTACTC